TTATCTCAACTCATACTCCTGATGGGCTGAAAACTGACTATAATGCTAAGAAACATAACAAATATTAACAGTCACATAAAAACAAGTACCATATATAATGAGGATATAAAATGGGGAGGAGAATTATGTTATAGAAAAGCTGACAGCACATACTTTAGATGGCTATTGTGCATTCTGCCTAATGAATTAATTATTCATGAAGTAAAACAGAAATATAAAATCGAGAATTTTGATTGATTGATACACAAAACATATTCTCTGCATTAATATTCATTTTCCTCAAAACAAATTGGACATTGGCTTCTACATTGGGCAAAAAAATGTTAATAAATTAATGCCAGTTTTAATTAAGAGTTAACTGTTACATATCATCTGGGGAATTATTGTTTGTAACCTAGATAAAAGAATCCATGAAATAAATACTTTTAAAGTTAGTCTAGTGAAAATATTCTTCAGTATCTTCACACACAAACCAAACAAACTATTTCTATTGTACTCAAGTTTATCAAATTGTTATATAAGAATTAATTTTTTTACCCATCATTCCTGGCCAGTAGTGATTAGGGTGGTTGGAAAGAAACCAGTAAATATCGACAAGCAAAGCAACTAGTAAATATTCAACAAAATAAATTAAAATCAAAGAAGAAAATCATATTTGGTTATCATGTATATATGATTATACATAGACTTAAATGGAACCGTAGTGTAATTAAATGATTAAGTGTTGCCTACTTACTTTTGACACAGGAGACCTAATGATTTTTCTTTCGAGAACCACCTGGTTTTCCAGAATCACTTTCTTGTGAAGAGAAAATAGTATCATCTTTACTGTCCTCTAATGGTATTAAATCCTGGTATTTTTTTCTGATGTGTAATTAAATTAGCAAGTGTAAAATTTTGAGCAGGAAATACTCAAGTCCTTAATAAGACTGAAAGCAGGTTAAAAAGAATCCTGTGTCAAATTATTGAGTTAGAAAAGAAATATCCATATTTATTATCATTTGGAGATTATTCAGATTGCTTATGTTTGGATCGACTGGAATAATGACGAAGAAAATGCCATGATTGAACTGTAACCAATTACAGGAATCACAGACAATGGATATCAAAATTGTGTTAATAAAATTTGTAAGTGTCTTCTAATACACATTTCTATATAAATAGGCCAGAAAACCTTGGAAAAATGTATTTATTTATATGTTATAGAAATTTTAAGTAATTCTGTTGACCTTATTACTTGTGTTAATCTGATCTTTTTCATTCTAATGAGAAAGATAACAAATTTCAAAAAAAAATAATGATTGTAAGGTAGAAAATGGGAAATCTATACAGTTGATAATCAAACATAAAACTGAAAAAAGAAATTTGAGATAAAATCGAATGTCATTGTTCAAATATTTAACAGCTTGCCACTTTGAGAATGAAATAAAAGTAGATTTGTAAGTTCAGTGAAATCTACTGTAAATAATCATTGATCATGTTTTTATTATGTTGTTACTGATATATTCATAGACATATGGTTTTATAGTCAGTGTTGTTGAAACTTGTTGTGAATATGATTGGACATATAGTTGATTTTATATTGTGATTAGACTTATTATTGTATGTGATAAACTACAATGGTTTGAGGATACATCAAGCGTTACAATCATTCTTGTTTAGTTTATTGATAAACATAAAAATATATAAACTTTACGTCTGTGGTTAAAAGTGTTTGAAATTCACATGGCATATGATTTGTCTACCTAAAAGACTAGTTGAAGTGTTTGTGACTTGTTTTGAATTACTTAGGACAGAAGTGCTTTGGTTTATATTTCAACAGAATATGTTCCTGTGCTTTTCCTTGATAAATATTCATTTATGCGTAAGATATACATGGGCTGAAATTTCAAATATGATACCAACTGAATGAAAAGAAAGTTAATAGCATTGCAGTACATTCTGTTATGTGTATAGGTCTCTGTCCATAAATGATATGTTTTACGGTGTAAGTGTACTTTTTGCTAAAATAAATCAGCCTCTCAGATGTTTGGATCCTGTGTATGTACTGTATAAAGGATATGATAAATTGACGTTACAAACATACATTACTATAGTATAAACTACAAAAAATAATGAGTAAGGATAACATAGGGATTAAGAGAGATTATGATATAAGTAATGATATTGTTATATATACTGTCAATTAGCATATTGTATATAAGAACCTATATAAGTAGCCTAGTGGTTGAAGACTGTTTGACAGTTTGAAATCCAGGAAGGTTATATATTTTCACTAGACTGCTCAGGGATCTCTAACTCTTGAAAATAGCTGAGATAAATCAAACTTCATGTGAGTAGGAATATCTATTTTGGTTTGCTGTCTCAGACATTAAGTTAAGTCTCAACAGTTATGTGGTATTGTTGATTTTATATGACTATAGACGAATTAGAAGACAGTGTTGGTGTTTGGACTTGAAAGTCTGAAGCATGTTTCTTTGTTACCAAGATGAAAAGATGTTAGGATTATATTGTTGGGATTGATTGAAATCTTCAGTTACTTTGTAAGAAAGCACTTTACTTGACTAGCAACTCCTCACTGGAACATACTTATACATGTCATTAAAGGATTGTAAACTTTTTCTTAAAAGAGCAAAACTTCTGAAGAAAGGCAAGCTAGCTGACTTAAAGGAGATATCAATAAACATGGTGTCAAATCAACCTATTGTGGATTTATTGGGTCTAATGTAGCAGTTAAAACCTCAGTTGATATATTGAATGACCTAGAAGGGATTATACAGGCTATATCAAGAGTAAATACTGGTATTTAATGATAGTAATAAATGGTTGAAGAATGTTAAATATAGTTATTAGAAGATTATTTGGAGTATAGGAATTAAGATAATTTCACAGATATATATCAGCTACAATGGCAGGTATGAATGGGTATACTATTATTTGGTTTAGTATTTTTGAGAATGATTGGTATGACATCCAGGAAACAGGTGCCACTATACATGATCTTCTATGATAGGGTCATGGTATTCAACAATGGGGTCTCAGTGATATCTGAGTTAGGCTCTCAATGATCTTCTGATAAGTTAAGATTTTTTGAAATAGGATCTCAATGATATGATCTGATTTTAAATGATATGATTTTCTGAACTAGTGTCTCAATGATCTGAAAAGTTATCTCTATATTATGATCCTATTTTAAAAGATATGTTTATTCTGAAATAGGGTCTCAATGATCTGATTTTCTGATATAAAGTCTTGATGATTTTATTGTCTGAATCAGTTTCTCAATGATAATAAGATCATCTTAAATGGTGTGTCATTGATATGTCTTGAAAAAGGGTCTCATCAGTGATATGATCCGAAAGAGAGTCTCAATGATATGATCTCCTGAAATAAGGTTTTGATGATGTAATCTTCTATTAGTCTTCAGATACTCTAAAATAAGACATTAACGACATATTCTTCAGATATTCTGAAATAAAGCATCAATTATATAGTCTTCAGATATTCTGAAATAAAGCATCAATTATATAGTCTTCAGATATTCTGAAATAAAGCATCAATGATTATAGTCTTCAGATATTCTGAAATAAAGCATCAATGATATAGTCTTCAGATATTCTGAAATAAAGCATCAATTATATAGTCTTCAGATACTCTGAAATAAAGCATCAATGATTATAGTCTTCAGATATTCTGAAATAAAGCATCAATGATATAGTCTTCAGATATTCTGAAATAAAGCATCAATTATATAGTCTTCAGATATTCTGAATTAGGGTCTCAACTAAATAGTCTTCAGATATTCTGAATTAGGGTCTCAAGTAAATAGTCTTCAGATATTCTGAAATAAAGCATCAATGATAGTCTATCAATAATAATTCAGATAGTACCCCACAATAAGATAACAACAATATTATCTTTA